TTGAACCGCTGAACGTTCCTTAGGCTCAATTTCGTTAAAATTGCAATTTCCTCAAAAGTATCTTTGAAATACTCATTGACGAATATTTCTGTCAGGATACTTGGCCATTATGTGCGTTTTTTTAAAATGCAGATATTTCCCCGCCGTTCTCAGATTTGTCCCTTCTTACCTTCTGGCAAAACTGACATGATTTTGGACAATTTTCCCTCATAAATACAGCTTGATAAGAACAGTAGTTCTTGACTCTAGCAAACGTGGCGCATTGTTTCCTTTTATCAACACAATCTATGAATCAACCGACAGAGAAAGTTAGCGAGAAAAAAGTTTAACAACTGAGCAGAATCACTAATAACTACATAACTAGTAGAAAAAATGATAGGACTGGAGTTACAGTTATGTTAAATATTATATTGCCCTCCAAGATGAATTGTGATTAAGGACACCAGCTAACAATAATGAAACTTTTAAAACGACGATTCTTCAGTCTTTGTTTCTTACCATCTGGGCTTGGCGACCTGACATTACCATTATTGTCTGGAAAAGGAGAAAATTAGAGTCAGTTTTGTTACACTTGTCATTTGGCCTTGTTACATTAGGATTAACTTTTGGCAACCTGTGACAAAATTTGCGAAGCATTATATAATAATTGTGTATTAACACCCTTGGGAAAGTAAAAATGATGCAACAAAAAATTTATTAATGTCGGACAAATTCAAATCCTAGAAGGTTTAGAAATGTGTAGAGAAACATAATGAAAATTTTAGCTGTGGCCCTCGGGTGAGATGGCATTAAGCTGAGGCAACTTCTTTGTAGATGACGAAATAGGGCTTGCAAGGGGACCACCCATTTATACCCTGCAACCTGCTTCGGAACACCATAATGGTACAAAGTAATTCCTCAATTTAAAGACAAGTATAACTTTAAAAAAATTCTATAAGATTGAATATAAAAATCATCAACGAATACTCGTTGTGGAAAACCCTAAGAATACCCAACTGTCAAACAGTTAGGTTTGCTTTGGACATATCAGGATAAATGTAGCTTACCTTTACACAAGTTACAGGATTTAGGGCAGTTTGTTTTCATGAAAACAGGATTAGCTTCGCAATAACCTTCGTTGTTTGCAACAATAGGGGCGCATATCGGTAAAAAATCGCGACAATCTACCAAACCAAATAGATGCAGTTTAGTAGCTTTCACTCTTTATCAAGTATGGTAATGAGAGACTGACTATATATTAGAGCGACTTTGTACTTTGCTACTTTAAATCCGGCATTTCCCTCTAGTTTCTTCTAATATTCAAATAAATTCATATCCGCTATGCATTATTCTTTTATCTAGAGCTAACTAACTGATAATTGCCAAAAATATAACTATCGAATATTTGAACGACTCAAGATCAGAGTGAGTTTGTAATTTGCTTCTTTAAATCCGGCATTTCTCTCTAGTTTCTTCTTATATTCAAAGAGATTCATATCCGCTATGAATTATTCTTTTATCTAGAGCTAACTAACTGATAATTGCCAAAAATAGTAACAATCGAATATTTGAACGATTCAAGATCGCCATGTGAATTCGGTGTCGATGAAACGCTTTAAGACTAAGTGCTTTCAAATGCTTTTGCATGCGCTGGTTTGTTTGCTTTATGTCTCGAAGTCTATGCATACCACACAATCCACAAGTCTTTGCACAGTTTTTCTCCATGTACTCTGGTTCGAATTTGCAATACGCTTTGTCTGTATCAAAGAGAAAGGAACATTCCTCTGGTTTTTCATCTTCGCAATAGGATTTGTCATCTGAAATGAATGTGCAAAATCTAAGTTAAAAACTGCACTTCATCCTTTAAACGATGGTTACTCGCCTCATACGCCTGAACGAATAATATGGTTGGTTTCTTTAGTCTTCTTAGGGGGCTCATTACTAAGTGGGCTCCTGTCGTTCTATTGTAGACAATGTAGATGTCTGAAACACAAGTCTTATTTTTACGTTAAGTGTAAGCTGCTCAACATGCAGTCGCAGTTCAGTCAATCAGGGTACTGGAGAAAAAAATCTAGCTATAACTACTGATAAGTGACTTACTGTAGCTTTACTATAATTTGCTTTGATGGCGAGAGAGAAAGAAAACTAAAGCATTAAATAATGTTTTATTGTAATAATAATTATGTAGTGACTGAACCTGGTCATGTCGTACGTCCATTTGTAAGCATCTAATAACTGTTGCATCAACTATGACCGCTGACCAATGTGTTAGCAGCATTCCGTTGGCGGAAAAAATACTGAAATGGATCTGTTTAATGATTTTAAGAACTGACCCTTCACAAAAGATATAAATGGCTCGCATTTAAGGCGTTCACAAGGAAGACAGGAGACTACTCAGCACTAATCCGCTTCCTAGTAATCCTGATAATAAACACCTTCAGGCCGTATATTGAATTATTACACCTCAAACTAAAGATTACTCTTACTAACAACTTCCAATCGTACCATTGTCCACTATTTCTCTAAGTAATCTTACCACAGAAACCGCATGACTGCGGGCAATTTTCCTTCATATAATCTTCACGCTTTTTACACAACTCTCTGTCGTTTTCAACAATTGACGCACAGTCTGGGGAATCTACACACACTAGGAAATTAAACAAAAATGATAAAGTAACTAACACAGTGGTGCTCTCATTGTGACTTAAGGTTCCCAAGAACAATTCGTATGAGACATTTGCCAAGGAATCCGTAAAACTTGACTGAATTAATTGACAAATGTATGACTTGATTGACTCTGTCAAAACTTAATAGACTAGAAACAAACTTTTCCGGGACAATTCTGGTTTCTAACGTATTTCTGAAATTCAGCAAGACGTGATAAGAAATTTAAAAAAGCAGCTGAAGGTCAAGAAGTGATAAAAGCATTTCATTTTGTTTCGTCTTCCTAGTTTTATAAATGATGCATCTAATTTGGCTCGAAACAAAGTCAACCAACTATGCTTTTACCGCCTGAATAAACGAGATTAGTACACTCTCCTAAAATATTCACGAAGAGGAGGTAAATGAGCACAACGCTAGTTGATAGGATATAACCCAACCAACACTTGGTTATCATTTGATACTCAGGATATATCCATTACCTATTGGACCTGGTGGTATGGTTACTATATTTGTTTGTGTTGTTACTACAGGTGTTGGTTTGTTCGCAGACTCAGTTAATGTAGATTCTTTCGAAGATGTAGTTGTCAGCGGGGCCATAACAGTTGATAGCAGAGCTTGCTTTGTTGTAGGAGTTGAGGAATTCCCACTCTCTGTGGGAAAAGAAAAAATCACAGACAATATCTCACAAATGCTCTAACCTAACAAATAGTTACTGATATAAATCACTGGCAGTCTTCTGCTCCTTTAACTAACTGATATTTGCTGAATGACGTGAAGATTCTAATTTATTCTTTACTGAAGCAGCTGGCAGCTAGCCAAACGTTTGTATCGCTTTTATCTTCGGTTTGTACGATTAAAACAACGTCGAAAAAAAAAATAAACAAAGCATGCTTCAGGCAAATATTTAATCATCACAGAGAAATGAAACGTTTTTGTTCAGAAAATGACTTTTTGACGGATTAGTAAGAATTTTTTAAGCTATCCAGGTTGCGGTTAATAGACCTTTATCAATGTACATGAAAGTGTGGTCAGGTCAAAATGTATATGTTTTAGCATAAAGTATGAAAAAAGAATACAAGAAACTTTTTTTAATGGAAGATAATAAGCTTACAAACGTACCACATATTTCGCAAGTCCTTCTACAATACTTGGAGAAAAATGGAGACGATTTACATTGATCTGGATCAGTAACGTAGGAGGAGCAATCATCAAGAATATCATTACATCCTGACAAGATAGGAACACGTATGGAAAAGTTCAATTGATTACGTTAAATATATCTTAAAATTGGTTTTTGATGAGAAGACAACCATCAAAGCAGAATTGGTAAAGGCAAAAGCGCTAATCGAAGAACTTAGGGGACATTGCATATATATTTGAGTATATACTGGGCTCTGGACGAGTGATTCTGTCGTGCTTTAGGCAAACACTTCAATGTCACAGAGCCTCACTCAGGAGTGTAGATTAATATCGGATAACTTTCACGAAAACTCGATAAATCGTGGGGGTTGACACTGCGTTGGACCAACGCTCTATCTGAGGGGCGGGTAATCCTCCTCGTTTAAAGTCAATGAAACTAGTAGCTAAACAGAAAAAAGAAACTCTAACTAACAAACATGAAAGAAAACAATTGAATACAGGAATTTTTACCACAGTAACCACAAGTTCTTGGACAGTACTTTATGAAGAATTCTCTCGCTCCGTGACACTGGGATGGATTCTTTATGTACTCTGCACAGTCTGGCAACATATCTCTACATGCTGATCACAAAACAGTGGCGAGGAGACAGATGATAATTATAAGTTGAAATCAGGTTAGCAAAGATATAGATTATGGAGCTGAATAGGAAAGCTGTGAATGAGAAATGGGCAAGCCTATCTGGCTTACAAATGGATTTGGGGTTTGACAACCTCAGCCTTGTTGGTTTATTTTTGCTGTTGCTCTTATTTTTTCACGGTAGACAACGTAAGCAGCTTTTCACTTGAATCTCCTCTGTGATTGTTCCTCATTTTTAGGGCTGAACTCTCTTAACAAACGTTATAAAAAAATTGTAATTTATTTGAAGTGGGGATTCAGAAATAGATTTATTTAATTTTTCCATATATTTACTCACCTAGCAAAACTGTGGGACTGGGTGTAGGACCTGGAAATTTGCCAGGAAAGAGATAAAAAGGAAGGTTAAACAAATTTTTCAATAAAATGTGATGATTTTACTTATGAGTTAAGATTAAGCCCAGTAATTAGATCTCTTGACAAAACTTTCTGATCATAGATGATACGAGAAAAGGGAAAAGCTTTTAGCTTCTAGTTAGTTACGGTCAAAATAGGCGATTTACATTTGGGAAATTTAATTCTCTCGAAAGGAAAAGGTTCTTATGCGTGTGAACGATTCACGCTGGAATCGTCATTGAAGATATCCAGGGAGAAGCAGCAAAAGTAATGTAATATCAGCTGCGACTTTGTCTATGGCATTTTCATTAGTCACTTGCCTCAACCATTCCCACAACAGTGATGATATTGCCGTATCATGCAGATGCCAATTCATTATCATCGTTTGACAAAGAACAAGAAATCTCTCATAACCCATTGTAACCTCAAGTCCCTAACTAGTTGACTTTGAATATCATCTGGAAAAATGTAGAGAGCTATATATATATATATATATATATATATATATATATAT